TAAACTTTTTAAAATAGAATAGAATCTCATAAAAAAAGAATTGAGCACCAAGCGAACGCCGAATAAAGATGTGTATAATAGTGCGGAATATTATTAGTACTTTATGAATTCACATGCGTTTTTTGAGAAATCGGAAATAGCGTAAATTAGTACTTTCGGTCAACGGAAATTACTCAAAATTTGACAAAAGGTAGGGAATTAGATCGTTTACTGACATGTGAAATTTTATTTATCTATCTGAAATAGTACTCAAGTTATAGGCTTTTGAAAAATTCAAAGTAGAAAAAGTACCACTTCCGGTTATCGGAAATCGCTCAAAAGTTGACACGTATCTACGATTTTAATAAAATACTTTTATATGAAATTTCATCAACCTAGCTGTAATGGTACTCAAGTTATCGTGTTTACACACACAGACACACACAGACACTGACACACAGACATACGGACAAGATTGCAAATTTATGTTTTTTCCGTATCAGTGAGGTGTAAAACGTCGATATTAGTAAAAATCTGGGGGTTTTTTTTTGCACGATTACAAGACTTTCTCTATATACGAAAAAGTAAAAAAACCAACATTTTAATAACAAGCTTTTATTTAATACTGCGCTAAAAACGAAAAAAAAAAAATTTTTCTTTAAATATGTAATAATCGGGCAGATGAGGCTCGTTAGCTGGGGACAGCCACTCTTCTAAGAGAGACAACTCCAAAATCAAACAACTGCTGCCTTGTAGTTTGTTCTTGGTTGGACAAAAGGCTATGGAAGCAAATCCAAAAAAAAAAGCAGGCTGAAATCGGAGTCAATGGCCTCAATGGCGCATAACCAGTTGCCACGTATCCTTAATTGTGATGGGAGCGTGGTCGAGTCGGCAAAAGCTCATGGTTGATATATTCAAAATAGTATCGAGTTCAACCCCTCTGGTAGATAAGGCTCGATCCCTTCCAACACTAAAAATTATAAACGAAGAAGAATAAGACTACTATTTAAATAACAAAGGAAAGTGTATGCATATTCCTAAATATTTGGTGAGGTATCAAATAAATAATATAGTGACCCACGCTTTTGTTTATAGTTATTTAAATAGTAGTGTATTAATATGTGATGAAAGAAAGTCCGTTATTTTCTCCTTTTTAGGCATTATTACATAATTGTTATTAAAACGTTTTTTATGCATAATTTAAAAACTGTTAAAATTGTTCATGTAAAGTGTGTAGTGATAAGATAGTAGTTCATGGTGATTACAAATAGTTAATGTAACGTGACTTTAGTCTTAACGTTACTTTTAAATTAATTTTTCTCTCGTTGTTTTTGACAAAGTGTTAAATTTCATCACAAATAGCTTAGGACAAATGATTTCAGACAAAATTTCCCGGACAAAATATCTCAAGTACAAATGATCTCAGTCAGAGTTTCTATCAGGCATATCATCGGGGGTATAATCCCCCCCCCCCCGAACAAAATGAAATTTATATCATTTATATAGAAAATATATACTTTTAACAGTGTCCGCCCCCCCCCCCCCCGAAGAAAGTTGACCCCCCCCCAACCCCCTAGAAGATTTCAAGTGCCCCCCCCCCGGAGAAAAAAGTCTGGAAGAAACACTGATCTCAGTACCAATGATCTCAAGGACAAATGATCTTATCGTAAAAAAGATCAGGACAAATGTATCAGAAGAAAGAATATCATGAACAAATGATCTCAGACAAAATATCCCAGACAAAATATCTCACGCAAAATATTAATAGCATTTGCGCCGATTTTTACCACATCGTGCTTTAGTCAGACGCGTTGTGTAATGAGTGAAACGTTCATGCCATTTCGAGAACTGGCTGTACGTAAACATTTTTCCTGTTTCATTACATACGTACATAAACCGGGAGTGATCTCCCCAAAACTTTCTCGAATATTCTTCTATAAAATAACAGGGGATGGGAACACGGGCTATAGACATGATTTTTAATCCATTTTAAATACTTAAAGTTTTTAAAATAGAATAAAATCTGGTAGACAAAAGAATTGCACACCAAGTGAACGCCAAATAAAAAAGTGCATAATAGTGCGCGATATTATTAGTACTTTAAAAATTTACATTAGTTTTTTGAGAAATCGGAAGTAGCGTAAATTACTACTTCCGGTAAACGGAAATTACTCAAAATTCAACAGTAGGTAGAGAATTATATATTTTATTTACATTTGAAATTTCATTTATGTATCTGAAATAGTACTCAAGTTATAGGCTTTTGAAAAATTCAAAGTAGGAAAAGTACGACTTCCGGTTATCGGAAATCGCTCATAAGTTGAAACGGATCTACGATTTTGATAAAATACTTATATATGAAATGTCATCAATCTAACTGTAACGGTACTCAAGTATTCGTGTTTACACACGGACAGACACACACACAGACAGACAGACAGACAGACAGACACACAGACATACGGACAAGATTGCAAAACTATGTTTTTCTGTATCAGTGAGGTGTAAAACATCGAGATTTGTAAAAATCTCGATTTTTTTGTGTGCACGATTACAATACTTTCTCTATAGGCCTACTTCGTATATACGAGAAAGTAACAACGACTAGATTGCGGTCTAAATATCTTATTGCGTGTAAGTAGTAAAGTTCCTTTTCAAACCTTACGGTCCATGGGGCACGTAAAGTAGATTTAATCTGTTTTAATATTCTGGCCTTGTTACTATTTGTATTAATTTTTCTAGAAATTGAGTTGGCACTGAAAATGGTTTTAGAGGTAGTGTATTAAAGAATTTCATAAAAAACATTTTAATAACAAGCTTTTATGTTCTAATGCACTAAAAAGTAGAGAATAAGTTATAGACTACTATTTAAATAACTATAAAGAAAAGCGTGAGTTACTTTAGTATTTATTGTATACCTTTAATAATGTTTAGGAAGAGACCCACGCTTTTCTGTATATTTATTTAAATCTAATATATAAAGTTCAATTCTGTATGCTTGTATGTTTGTAGTCGAGGATTACAAAGGAATATAAGAAAAAACGAAAAAAAAAGATACCTTGATGGATTCAAGTGTCAGATTATTAAAGTGCTCATGGTCTAAATTTATGAGTTAAAAAATTACTATTGAAAGTCTTTCAAAACAATTTTCATTTTATATACTTAGAATAATAATTTTCAATTACGAACATTAGGCCTACATAAAATAAAAAAAAAGTATATCAACGCTTATAAAATTTCTAAAATTGTGTCTGAAATGTTTTTGCATTTTATCCTTTAGTTCTCATAACGTCCCTTAATTTGGAAAACACAGTTACTTCCCTTTAAAAAACCCATTAAATCGGGGGAAGAAAGAATTTACATTTTACTACTTTGTTTTGGTTTAAGGAAAAAATAAATTGCATAATTAGCGGGGATTGATTAAGTGCAATGTCGTTGGTATTTTTAATACTGCCTTCTATTTATTCTATACACTGAACATACTGTTTACTAATTAATTTTTAAAATCAATAACATTTAATAAGCCAGGTCCTACAAATCGTATATGTTTATTTCTTTCCATTTACGGATAAGCTTGGAGTATTATAATTTTGTTCACTAAATTGAAAAAAACGCGCGACCGCCGGCGCCCATGCACGGTTCGATTTGGCGCTCTGGGCTATAATGTGAGCGCTATGCTGCATAATTTCGTTTTAAACGGTGCGATAGACTGGATAAGAAAGGTTACTATAGTCTTTAAGTTAATTGAATCCGGGCGTCCTCCAGCACCCCGACAGATGGCGCCCCGGGCTTTGCCGTGTTTGCCCTGGTACCTACGTTCGCGTAAGTGAGTTTAGAAGACTATGAATAAGTTGGGTACTATAGTCGTTTACTAAGTTGAATCAGGCGGTTATGCCGCACGTCGTCATGGTGCGATTTGGCGCCCCGGGCTAGACTGTGGACACTTTGAGTTTATCGTTGCGTTTGCGTTTTCTTTGTGTTTGAGTTTGGGTTTGCGTTTGTGGTTGTGTTTGCGTTTGGATTTGGGTTTGGGTTTGTTTTCGTTTTTTTTCTTTGCGTTTGTGTTTCCGTTTGCTTTTTTCTTTGCGTTTGTGTTTTCTTTGTGTTTGTGGTTGTGTTTGTGTTTGCGTTTGTTTTTGTGTTTTAGTTTGTCTTTGTATTTGTGTTATGTTTGCGATGCTTTTTTTGGTGTGTTTTTGGTTTTGTTTGGTTGTGGTTGGGTTTGTGTTTGCGTTTGGGTTTGTTTTCGTTTGCTTTTTTGTTTGCGTTAGTGTTTGTGTTTTCTTTGTGTTTGTGGTTGGGTTTGTCTTTGCGTTTGTTTTTGTGTTTTCGTTTGTGTTTGTTTTGTGTTAGTGTTATATTTGCGTTTTGTGTGTGTTTTGGTTGGTTGTGCTTAGGGTGGGCAGTGCCGGGTAAATGCTGATTACTAAACACACAATTTATGGTCCTTGACAGATACGTTTTTCAGAGATGCCAGTGCAGGGCCTGGCCGGGACGGCTAGTATTAGTCTATAATTTATTTTCTACTTTTTAGTGCATTAGTACATAAAAGCTTGTTATTAAAACGTTATTTTATGAAAAATTGTTAGTACTTTACATGTTTTATTTACAATAGAGTTGCATGACTAAAACCATTGCGCGCCTATTGAACGTGATGACGCGCTATTGAACGTGATGAGAAATGCCTACTAATTTGGTCAAAATTTTAATTAATGCATAAAAATTAAATAGGCAACCAATTAAGTCAAATTGAATGTCATGATGCTCTGTCTTCATGTCTTGACTCACGCAACAATTACGAACCGTATCTGTCAATTAGAAGTGCCTGCAATTTCGCTCGGGCGTTTCGATCTAGACAGAAAGACTGGCGCCTGACGACAGACAGAGGAAGTAAGTTATATAAAAGCTTGTAATAAATCTTAAATGTTAAAATTCTACAGATGAAAATGTTACCTAGCGTCATTACTGCCGTGGCGTTGTTTGTGTTCAGTGCCGTCTGCAGTATTGACGATAAAACAATAATGACGTTGAAGTACCCAAAATCACAGGAATATTTCCCCAACTTCTCCTTTGATGAACAGATGTTCACCAGGTAATTTTTACATCCTATGTCTGGGGCGACTTAACGTGTTGAGCGGTAGAGCGCACGGCATTAAACATACATGGTTGACGTTCAATGCATTCTTTAGAGTGTAGTAAGTTCACCAGCACTTTACGTGTGCCCATGTGGATCTGCTGAATACCTAATTCAAGTAGGGAGAGTTAAGTTGGATTGGTATAGTGCTGACAACATTATCCTTCATAAGTTGAAATCACAGAAATAGTCGAGCTTTACTTCAACTGCCAAGGATAGAAAGTTTGCAAAAAGGCACATTACATTTTTTTTCACCAAAAACATGAGGTATTGTTTGTAAAAAAAAACTTAAATTTTACACACTTTATACAAACAATTAATTGACTCTACAGGAATTTTGTGATCAATATTCTGAAAACACTACTTTAAAGAAAATGTGAACTCAAAATTTTTAACCGATATAATATTTAGAGTTTAGCTATTTTTGTTTAAATTTCTGCGATAAACAGTTTTTGGCATAAAAAAATGGTCACTTATCGAAAATGCTAAAACATCAATTACATCCAATCTATATATATAAAAGCCGATGTGCGAACTTCTCGCTCTTTCTCTATCCGCATCTCCCGAGGCTAAGAGATCCGTATTTTCAGTAATATATGAGGAACTTAGTGATACGGACTTTTGTTGAAAATAATATGTTGAATGTATTAGATGTATAAATTAAATTTTATTTAAACAAAAAAAAATAAAAACAATGTCTTATTCGAATGTAGAAACACATTTTTAATTATGCAACAGGAAAAGTGTTTATAGCTGTGACAAGAACGCAATAAACAATGACGTCACATGCCAGACATTTAAACCACGGAAAGTAAACATAACTAAAGGCGGTGAATATGATGGAATAAACTATTTGAGTCAAATTCGATTTCGATCTATAGATCTTCTTACCTAGACGCACGCTATGAAAAATTTTTTACGATTTTCTCGGCGAAATTACTTAAAAACAACATAAATACCATTATTATGGAGTTGACTAATAATGTATGTTATTTGGTTTTTCTAGTATGTATTGGTAGCCTATGTTATTTTAAATGTGTCGGATTTTTAGCTATTTAGTTTTTTCTTTGCTTTGTCACTAATATCGTTCAACGTGTAGTAAAGAAAATTGCGTTTAGACCAATACATTTTTTATACATTATTTTTCCAAAACAAGTTTAACATTTAAAAATGCCTATAATTCTCGTGAAACGGCTAACCATGGCTTGTTTTTAATAAATTCCAACAAACATCAAATACTGCGATTTTAATAACCATCCTTATTTTGTTAAAAATTTTAATGGGCTGTTGGAATAAGTTAGAGATTATTCTCATTTGAGTCCATTTCTTTTAGGAGAAGAGTCACGCACATGAACCTGATTATAACAATCTGGTGACTTTCGGGTTAGCAAACGCGCGTTTATGACCCTTTCAAATGTGTGCTAAATATATAATAGCACTATTTTAAGCCGAATTATTTCTATCCACAGATTCTACGAATGCCTAGAGAGCCATTCTATTCAATGCAGTTTTAAATATGGTGGAAGCCACCATGGCTGGTTTGTATATAACGTCAGTTCAACATCCGGAGCAGATTCGTCGTTATTTTATTACCACTGTCTTATTAACGAGAGCAGCATGGACGTTTTGTGTGATAAGAACACATCCTGTCCAGAGGGATCCCAGTGTAGCAACGCTAAGTTTAGCATAGCCTGGGCCGATGAACGAGAGAATTTTTACTCGCCGAGGTTGGAGAACTGCACGAAAACATGTCCCAGTACCCATGACTGGTTCCGTGTATCGACGTACAGTCTTAAAAATACAACAAATAGCACAGGGGAATATACTTCGTCTACAACGTTTCTATCGTCTACATACACGGATGAATATACTTCAACCGTTGAGACAACAGATCAACCTTCTACGACAGTAGAATCTGCAGGAACAACTGCCTCAGAGACAACTGATGAAACTGCTAAAGTGACATTAACTGAACCTTCTACCACACAACCAACTGAACCTACAACCAATTCATCACCCGAACCTACAACTAATTCATCACCTGAATCTACAACCAATTCATCACCTGAATCTACAACCAATTCATCACCTGAATCTACAACCAATTCACAACCTGATTCTACAACCTCCTCATCACCTGAATATACAACCAATTCATCACCTGAATCTACAACTATTTCATCACCTGAATCTACAACCAATTCACAACCTGATTCTACAACCAATTCATCACCTGAATCTACAGCCAATACATCACCTGAATCTACAACTATTTCATCATCTGAATCTACAACCAATTCATCACCTGAATCTACAGCTAATACATCACCTGAATCTACAACCAATTCATCACCTGAATCTACAGCCAATACATCACCTGAATCTACAACTATTTCATCACCTGAATCTACAATCAATTCATCACCTGAATCTACAGCCAACACATCACCTAAATCTACAACTATTTCATCATCTGAATCTACAACCAATTCATCACCTGAATCTACAACCAATTCACAACCTGATTCTACAATTTACTCATCACCTGAATCTACAGCTAATACATCACCTGAATCTACAACCAATTCATCACCTGAATCTACAGCCAATACATCACCTGAATCTACAACTATTTCATCACCTGAATCTACAACCATTTCATCACCAGAATCTACAACCAATTCATCAATTGAATCTACAACCAATTCGTCACCTGAATCTACAACCATTCCAACACAAGAATCTACAACCAATTTATCACCTGAGTCTACAATCAATTCCTCACCTGAATCTACAACCAATTCATCACCTGAATCTACAACCAATTCATCACCTGAAACTACAACTATTTCATCACCTGAATCTACAACCAATTCGTCACCTGAATCTACAACCATTCCAACACAAGAATCTACAACCAATTCATCAATTGAATCTACAACCAATTCGTCACCTGAATCTACAACCATTCCAACACAAGAATCTACAACCAATTTATCACCTGAATCTACAATCAATTCCTCACCTGAATCTACAACCAATTCATCACCTGAATCTACAACCTCCTCATCACCTGAATCTACAACCAATTCATCACCTGAAACTACAACTATTTCATCACCTGAATCTACAACCAATTCGTCACCTGAATCTACAACCATTATAACACAAGAATCTACAACCAATTATTCACCTGAATCTACAACCAATTCATCACCTGAATCTACCTCCACTCAATCAACTGAACTTCTAACGAACTCATCACCAGAACCTTCAAGCGATTTATCACCTGAATCTACATCCAATTCGTCACCTGAACCTACCTTCACTCAATCAACTGAACCTCTAATCAATTCATCACCTGAACCTACCACAAATTCCTCACCTGAATCTACAACCAATTCATCCCCTGAATCTACAACTATGTCATCACCTGAATCTACAACTATTTCATCACCTGAATCTACTACCATTCTACCAAATGAGTCAACTCCAACGCCATCACTTACTAGCGCTAGATCACCGGAACCTGCTGCCTTTTTATCATCTGAACCTACTACTACCACTTCACATGAGCCCACTACCCTTTCATTAACTGTACCAGCCGTCACTTCGCCAATTGAATCTACTTCGACTTCACCACATGAATCCACTACTACTTCATCATCTAAACCTTTTACCACTCCATCAACCAAAATTACTACAGATCCATCATCAGAAACACCTACTACAGTACCATTTTCTAACCCTACTATTACTACATTTACATCAACACAACCAAGCACTTCGTCAACGGACACTACGAAAACAGAAACCTCTCCTACAACATTCACTACAGCAGCGACTAACAAACCAACCGCCCAACCAACAACCACAACAGCAACTAACAAACCAACCACCCATCCAACAACCACAACAGCAACTAACACACCAACCACCCAACCAACAACCACATCAGCAACTAACAAACCAACCACCCAACCAACAACCACAACAGCAACTAACAAACCAACCACCCAACCAACAACAACAGCAGTAACTAACAAACCAACCACCCATCCAACAACCACAGCAGCAACTAACAAACCAATTACCCATCCAACAACCATAGCAGTAACTAACAAACCAACCACCCAACCAACAACATCAACAGCAACTAACAAACCAACCACCCAACCAACAACAGCATCAACTAACAAACCAACCACTCAACCAACAACCACCACAGCAGTAACTAACAAACCAACCACACAACCAACAACCACATCAGCAACTAACAAACCAACCACCCAACCAACAACCACAGCATCAACTAACAAACCAACCACCCATCCAACAACCACAACAGCATCTAACAAACCAACCACCCAACCAACAACAACATCACTAACTAATAACCCCACCGATGATTCCTCAACACAAGAAATCGAATCCCTACCCATCATCCAAACAACCCCTGACAACATTCACCCACCAAACGCAGCGACACCTACACCGCCCCCAACAGAAAACCCCCCACCTCTAAACAGCGGCAACTTACGTGGCCAGTTCCAGAATGACCAGGTCCCTCTTATCCTCAGTCTATTTATAGCAGGTCTGGTCGTTCTTCTCGTGCCTATTCTAGCATTTACCTTCTGGAGAATCAGGCTCAGGATAAGACGCAACACGTCAAGTGAAACAGATTCGCTGACCAGGTCTAATGTTTCCAGTTACTACGACCACTTTTCTGGCACCCCTCACACAACTACATTTAATCCCTTGCATTTTCTAGATAATTCTACGAGGGGACTCTATCCACCGGCAGATTATTTATAGCCATAGGTCTAGTACAGTTAGTAATCGTCGAGCTGTATCGAAAATATTAACATTTAAGTTGCATGTATATAATCTAATTTATGTATTTAATATTATTAAAATGTATTCAGAGTCTTTTTTTTGTCTTTACCCTTTCGTCTTGTCCGTCTATCCGGTTATATCTTTATACTATCGCCCTTTCAGTCTATTGTATATATATATATATATATATATATATATATATATATATATATATATATATATATATATATATATATATATTTCCATATCCAGTTTAACAAAACATAAGATCAGCAAATATATTATAAGTAAATCAGCTAGCATTTTGTACGTAAGTCATATGGGATCTTTGACGTAATTCATCAAACATCGTCATACATAAGTCAGCCAAGATCTCATCTTCAGAAAAGATCTTGTTAGTAAATCCATATTGACAAGGAATGTTAATTTAACGCCGAGAGCAGTCACAGGTACAAACAATATCACCGGCAAAAATAATTATAAAATTAATTAGTTTAGAATGTAATGGTAACATTTTGCCAAGGATCTAAAATAAAACATGTATTCATAACATTTTGTTAATGTAGGCTGTATGAACCAGTGAATTATTTTTTTTTACCAATTCTAAAATACTATTACAATATGCTGATATATGTTATCATTCATTAACAGAAGCAGTGGAACATATTATCTAACTCAATAATATTAGACTTCCAATATACGCAATCCCTGAAATTTAAGCATGGAACTGAATATAATACATTACAGAAATCGTTGATTTAGGTTAATAATCGTTGATAATTTAATTATAATGCTGATATCTTATCGTCCCCATGTTAAAAAAAAATGACAGGTCCTCACCTCGTCTCTTTCAGATTAGCCAATAATTTGTCCACAAAAAATTATCCATCAAATTTATATCAATAATATATACACATTTACTTCCATAAGTTTTTAAAAAATTTACATCATGCAGTAACCAAGAGTGTCACCCCCGTTCCCAAAGATTATGTATGTTCAATACACAAACAATAAGCTATGTGATGTCTGCCTTTGCCAATAATTTAATATGTTCATAATTATTTAAACGCTAACATAGACAAAAGGTTTAAATTCGCTAAATTTCATGGTTGTTTCACCCCCTTAGAAAGTGGTCCCCAGGTCTCCTACCGAGCAACCCATGCCCGCCATTCGGGCCACTGCTACTGCCTACTTTCCCCACCCGTACCATGCAACTAAGTCGTAAAACAATTACAAAGTGCAAGAAAAAAAAACTTTGTCTTTTATTCTAAGTGACAAGAACATAGAGACATGTAGTAAATAATGTAAATACAAGGCTATTGAGTTTATACCTCAATAAAAGCTTATCAGAAGATAAAACATGACATGCTCTTAGCTGGAGATTTATATATATATATATATATATATATATATATATATATATATATATATATATATATATATATATATTACATACGACATTTTATAACACAATGGCATGGTTGTAATTAATTAGACATAACTAAAATAAGATTAGACTGGTAGAGACTAATAAAGGACGGTGTAAACGTGACGGTAGACGAATTGGTTCGAGAGTATGTGCGCGACATGCTCTTAGCTGGAGATTTATATATATATATATATATATATATATATATATATATATATATATATATATATATATATATATATATACTTGCGTACCCGTCCCCGCGCTTTGCCGCGGGGATATAAGAGAGTCTGACGAAATATATAAGAAGGGTTTCATCAATGCGTTACCAACTCTATGTTCTTAGATGCGTGCCCTTGTTTTCTAAAACAGAGTTTTTTAAATGTAAACAATGCCTGCACTTGGATAGTAAATATAGGGTTACGAGTTTAAATACACTACCAACACTACCGCATAAAACCTTTCGTGAATCACTCACCAAAATAATGAGGTAGAGCACACTTCGGTGACCGCCCATGTGTCAGGGACGTAGAGGGGCGCTCTCGGGAGCCCCTGATTACACTAACGCAGAGGCGTCGCGTACGGCCCCTGGCTACAACTAACATAGGCGCCATAGTGCTCACAGAATAATCAACAGCGCCAAATTGCATCCTGAAGCAATGATGCAGATAACGTCGATCGCTTAAGTGACACAAATCAAACGGGTTTTTTTCTTTAACACGTAGACAAAAGAATATTTGACGTGTTTTAAACATCAGTGTGGCTGATGCAATTCGTTAGCGTTAGTAATGGTGTATTATTAGAAGTTCGATCTTAATTTCTGATTGGATCGTTTAAAAATAGATGCTAATTGCATCATTCGCAAAGTGACGACACTGTACAAAAGGATTTCCTTGTGTTGCAAAGTTATTTTTAGAAGTGTGACTTTTATTTTCGATTTGAGTTGCCCTTCTAAACTTAATGTTTATGGAAATATTTACATTATTTTGAGAACTGTAGGCTTTGGAATTCTTTGGATATTTTACGGACAAAAGGAAACAACCCAGTGTTAATAATCTAACCTTAGTTAATTTTCCTGATCATTAAAAGATGTATTACAGGGCCCTCAGCAGCCCGCGTGAGCTTTTGAGATCCGAAACTGAAATTTTTGTTTGCAGCCAGATCGCATCTTACCACAATTTAGTGAGCGACTGTAACGGCTCATCTTATCCATAGTCTACCGCACTGTTTAGAGCAAACTTAGGTGCTATTGCGCTCACGGGAAAGCACAGGGCGCCAAATTGAACCATGCAGGGGTGCCGGTGGACGCACCTTGTTCGATATAGTCGATGATTTTTGTTGCCCATCGTGTCTTTAGTGTTTAGCCTTTTTTTAATGAAAGTAGGCGCCATAGTGTTAGCAGGGGAGCCCGGGGCGCTTCGGGTCGTGCAATCTACGGGCGTCGACGGTTGCGCCTGATGAAGTTTTAACACTGACTTCAGTAGTACCCCTTAACCTCTATGCAGGGCACACGATTAACAGATGCCACGTGCTAACATAGCCTTTCTGGAACTCTGGGCCCCAAATTGTGTATTGACGAAAGTCGCACACGCGCAGGCCCCACCCATATCAAATTTTCAATATTTTGTTCGCAAGAACTTTCTCGCGAGTATTCTCATCAACTCCCAAAAGTTTCATAGCACTTGGATGAAAGATGTCGAGCCGCAACTGACTTTTATTTTTTATATACCGTATATAGAGAAAAATCGAACCCTCCCAGGACTCCGCCCTTGCAAAATTACAAACATATTTTTGCAGAACCCATCCCAGGAGAGTTCTAATCAAATTTCCAAAGCTTGATGTCGATCGAATGAAAGGTGTTTAACTGCAATTGACTTTTATTTTTTATACACCGTATATAGAGAAACATCGAACCCTCACGGGGCGCCGCCCATGCGAAATTAAAATAGATTTTTTTTTGCAGAAACCTTCCCTGGACTGTTCATATCAACTAAAGTTTAACGGCGATCGGGTGAACTGTGTGAAATCGCAATCGACTTTTATTTTTATATATCGTATATAGAGAAAAAACAAATCGAACCCTGCCGGGGCAACACGACTGCGAATTTTTTTTTCGCAGGAACCTCCCCAGGAAAATTTTTACCAACTTCCCAAAGTTTCACGGCGTGTACTAATGCAGAAAAGACAGACACACCGACAGACATTCATTGCTTTATATATATATATATATATATATATATATATATATATATATATATATATATATATATATATATATATATATATCAGGGGCGTAGCGAGGGGGGGCGGGGGGTGCGGACCGCACCGGGTGACACCATTTAGGGGGGGGGGGTGACACCAAGGCAAAAAATAGCAAAATATATAGAGAAAAACTTGAGGGGGGGTGCAAATCGAAATAAAATACTTCGCTATGTTTATTTCGACATTCCATTGGATAATGTTTTAACTGTGCATTTAAATAATAGCTTATAGCTGATAAATAAATATGTAAGTATTTTTGAAATTCGCAGATTATGTCACATGACTTGGTGTTGTCTAGCAATTTAACCTAATGTATCCTATCACACGTAGTTACATTTGGTGAAGTCCAACAACCGAACTATAATTAACATAACACGAAGACCATCCTACCTAAAAATAATATTAAAAAATATATTGTTGCTGTATACGCAAATAAGACACATGACTCTTATTTGTATAATTAAGAGCCCTGTGAACATATGGGGTTGTACGTTGAGGGAAATCCCCCTTGGTTTTATTACTGTTCAACGGTTCCAAACTTCCAGCGTGTCACGTGGTATCTTTTTTCTTTCAAAGTGAAGTCCTTGAATCAGCTCATGTAAACAGGACGGAAAAGATAAGAAAACTAGGCTGTGTTATTATCTGGTTACTGTGCTTAACAGTACACCGACTTTGATATCTTTTCATACATCTCCTAAAATGGAACTAATGTAATAGACCCTACTCTAGCTACTAAAGAATTCGGATTATTTGTTATGTAAGAGCTTTTATTTATTATTATACATCCATATATATATATATATATATATATATATATATATATATATATATATATATATATATATATATATATATATATATAAATCAATGAATAACTTGCAACTATTTTTTTAATATACATAATTTTTTTTGCTTAAATTGCAAGACCTGTGCATTTAAAAGCGTTTGTATTTAGCTAGATAGTGTAACAACATGGCGTTTTTATAAATAGTTAAATATCAACTGAATACCATAAAATTGTTTGTTTCTAGAATATAACAAAATGGTGAATTTTACACTAATCGGCTTGGTACTAGCCATAATGACGAAAAACATTGTAGAATGCTCTGGAGTAATGACCGTTCAAGGAATACCAGTTAATTTTGAAAGTGCTTACTTTAATAGGTAAATTTATGAGTTCAAATAACGTATATATGTATATATATATATATATATATATATATATATATATATATATATATATATATATATATATATATATATATATATATATATATATATATATATATATATATAAAAATTTTTAGTCAACCATGAAATA